AGCCTTGTCTCCCTCCCTGTTCTCTGCCTCTTGTACCTCCCCTCCCCTCCACACCCCTCAGCCACCCTCACCCTCACCCCTGCCTTCCTCGCCCCTTTAGGGGCCATGAGTGCCTGGGTTTTTCATACCCCACAAGGTTGCAGGAGGGGAGGGACGATGTTGTTATGTACCAAAAATTCTGTGGTAGGGGGTGGGGGGGTCAAGAGGGTGAGGGGTGCCATCCATGGGCCACAAATCTCTACAAGTGCCTGCTCTCCCTCTCCTACTCCTCACCCCAGCATCAGTCTACCCTTTCACCCCCAGCTGCTCCTAGGACTGGCCCATGGGCAGGTGGGTGGGGGGGATGGGAAGGGGGTGCCCTGAAACCAAACTGGAAGCCCCCTCTTGCCTCCCAGCTGGGGTCCCTGGGGTGGGGTGGGGGGCTATGGTCAAGCCTTATTCTGTATGGGGAATGGAGGGTGGGTAGGGAAGTAGGGGGACGCTGGAGAATGTATTCAAAACAATAAAACTTTGGACCTTTGCATGCGGTGATATGTCCTAAGGGCTGGGTGCAGCCACTGCAGGGCTACAGCCTTTGCTTAATTCTAAAGGACAGGCCTAGACTAGCCCCCCAGTGGATTTGTGGCTAGAGGCTAACTCCTTCTGAATGGGTCAAAATCCCAGCCTGGGCCAGTCATGGTGGTTCACGCCTGTAATCCTAGCTACTCTGGGAGGCTGAGACAGTATCACAAGTTTGAAGCTAGCCTCAGCAAATTAGACCATGTCTCAAGAAGGGGTGGGTGTGTTGTGCCCCAGGAGTTGATCCCTAGTGGCATAGGGGAAAAAAATCTGGCCAGAAAAATGATCCCTTAACCTTGGGTGTCACATAAATCCCAAAGGTGAAGGTAAGGTCTTGGGCCTACTCTGGTCCTGTACTTGACTGGTCCTGTATTTTTTTTTTTTTTGTACCAAGGATCAAACTCAAGATCTTGCATTTGACGAGGCAGGTGCAGGCCACTGAGCTAAATCCCCAGCCTGGTCCTGTATTCTAAAGGAATCTGCTTGTCCTTGGAATCCTATAGGCCCTTCACCAACCTGTTGCTGTAGGTGTTGTGACTGCCTGAAATGCCTACCTTCTCTAGCTTTGATTTCCTAGACACACCCCAGTTCTCCAGTAAAGACCAGGAACTCTTTGCATTGCTTGCCTATAGCATGCTGCCCACATTGCTCAATTTAGGATGCTTAGTTAAGCTGGGAATCCTTTGGAAACAAGATTTGCAATGTCTCTTGAAGTGTAGACCTTGTAAGATAACTCAAGTGATCTTTCAGTCCAACCAGCAGGTTGAGAAGGATGTAGCTCATCATAGTTGGTACTGATTGACCTACTGTGTGCCAAGTTAGGAGCTGTGATGCTTTAGCTCCTTCAACATCCAAGAAGGAAGGGCAGTGGACTCAGTTAAATAAATGCCCAAGGCACTAAACCTGAGCCAGGACTTATAACTGAGCTTTCTCTCCAAAGTCTGCTTTCATTGACTTCTGAAATTTCCTTTCCAAAACCAAGCTGGCTGGATCCAGATGAGGGTCTCAAAGGATCATATGATCTGAGAGATGAACTCATAAACTAGAAGCCCAGATGCAGAGTGGAGTTAGGGATGAAACAATCAGGAGGAATGCAGGCTGGAATTGCCCTTAGAGACTAGCCCAACCCAGGCAGTGCAGGTGAGGTGCCTGAGGCCCAGAAAGGGGAAGGGGTTTCCCCAAGGCCATTCAGCTGCTAGCTAAGAGATGGAGTGGTAATTGAGGGCTCAGGGCCTGCTGGATTCACTACACCATGAAACTCCACCCTGTGGAGCCCTGAGGGTGAGGAACGCTGACTGGCAACTGCTACCCACTCACGCTTAAATCTCAGTTTGTGTCAGCCCTGGGTGGGTGGTCCCAGGTGATGCTGTCAATTGGCAATGAAGAAAGGATTTAGGGCTGGAGTACTGGTAGGAAACAGAGGCTCCCACGGCAGCCTTTGGGCAACTGCTCCCTCTCCTGGGTGATGTAAGTCATTCCCTGGGGTGGGGGCCACCAGGCTATTTCTGGAAGTTGGGATGAAGCATAGCTCCTGGCAACATAGATGCAGCTGAGTTGATAGTGGGGTGATGGTGAAAGGCGATGTCATCACTGGCAGGAGGAAAGCAAGACCCCTGCTAGTAGCTGGTTAGTACCCTTAGCTTGGACCCCAGTGTCTTCAGAGTGCCTCTAACCACTGGCATTCCTAAGTCCTCAGCTGCAGAACTGTTCTCCAGATCAGAACATGGGTGCCACCAAACTTGTTGCCCCAGATTCTGGCTGTGTGGGATGTCACAGGTGGCACAAGGCTTTGAAAACTCCAGCCACTCCCTCAATCTTTAATCGCCCACTTAAATCCATTTCCAAGCCTGAATTGTTTCTGCAAGAAGACACCATTGGTCCTGCCCATATCCTGTGAAATCCTTGCTTCCAAGCAAGTCCTTCATAGGTCTCTTAGAGTACTTCACAGATTAGCTCAGCACTTTCAGACCTGTAGCCCTCCAGCACCTACACAGATCCCCAAAGCTCCTTCCTAATGCTTCTCAGCCATCCCTCATCCCTTCAGGTTGCTCAAAGATCTTAGTCACCAGTAATTTATCACAGTCTCCCACAGACCTTTTGCAGACACGGTAAATACACTTGGACTTCTCCACTGATCCCCAATAATTGTTCTCAAGTGCTTATGACCCCCCCAAAACCCTATACCCCTCCAGGGAGTAGGCCCTTCATAGAAACTTACAACCTTTCTGATTACTCCTCTGCAAATATTCTCACCTCCCTAAACACAGCCTGTTAGAGTTCCTCAGACTGTCCCTAACAAACTCCTCGGATCCCAATCTGCTCGCATCGCTGGCCCACGTGGCTCCGTGCTATGTTCCACGGGTTCTGGAAGTTAAACCGCCTGTATCTTGCCCCGATTTGCCGCCCTTGTGAACCTCATTGACCCTTTCTGTGATTCCCTATGCCTTGGGACTTGACTCAATTTACTTTTCAATTCTGAGGTGCCGTCAGAGGGCAGCAGCTACCATTTGGTTAGGCAACTACACGTCCCAGAAACACCCGCTCCGAGCTGTGCGCGATGTGTCCTCGGAGTTTCCGAGGGGAGTGGAAGTGTGTCCGCGCTTTGCATCCTGGATAACATAGTCTGAAAGCGATTTAACGTGATCATTTCTCTCTGTGTCCGCGGGAAATTGCAGTTAGGAGCCGACCGATCAGACAAGACTTTTTTTAAGGCTTCAGAAAGGGCAGGACAACTAGTGTGAACACAAGTTTAGATTAAAATGAAGTCCAGAAACTCCACTTCCCACCATTATCAAGGCCGGACAAGCTTAGAGCACTTTCATTCCAGTTCCAAGCATTTGGGGCTGCGCTCAGGGCGGGGTGCGGAGGTTGTCCCAGAACTCTGTTTCCCAGCGCCCTTTGAGGCTGCTCCTCTTCCGGGTATTAACTGATAAACGAGGCGACTCAGTTCGCGCACAAACCTGACGCTACTTCTTGTACAAGGTTTGTTTAGGATCCTGCAATTTAGGAAGCGGAAGATTGCAAAAAGCTGAATGAGGGTTCAAAACAGAAATTCCTTCTCTGTCTTAGCTTCCTAGTGCTACCCACATTGCTAGAAGAAGCTAAATTGTATCCGAAGACAAGTGCTCAGAGAAACCACTGGAAACTGTGTTATTTAAACCCTCCGCAGTTAGGCAGAGGGTGTTTTTTACCTTCCTGATAGATGATTACCTGGGATTTAAAGGTACTTGGAATTTTTTCCCCCAGCACTCACTGATTGACTTGGGCTCATTCTTTGGACCAGAGGGCAAGGAAGGAGACGTTGAAACACTAGTTTCCTCAGGGAATGCCTGTCCTTAATCTTTCGCTCACATAACCCTAATAGTACCTATTGGACTCCACTTCCCAGCAATCCTCTGAGCATAAAGCCGCCCAAAGGGTCAGGATCTGTTCTGGACTATTCCCAGCATGCTTCGGGCTGGTAGTAGATCCCGCCTCCTCTGTAAATGGGGATATGGCTTTGAACTCCATTTCCCAGAAGAAAACAGGGCTTGCAGTAGCAACTACATGGAAGCCTTGGTGTCGACTATTTCCTGGCAGGGACTGCAGCTTCCAGTAGTATAGGGTAGGTGAAGCGCGATGTCTACTCCATTTACTGGCCTATCTCTAGAACTGCGGTATACACTTGGGTGTTGAGGATCACTTGGGACTCCATTTCCCGGCGTGCTTTCGAAGCCGCTTTACACCTGCAATGCGGTGAGGGTGTAGTCACGACTGCATTTCCCAACTTGCCCCACGGCCCGAGATCTGAGAATTTAAGGACACCAACTCGATTTCCCAGAGTGGACCTGGCGTTAGGAATCACACAGTCAAAAGACTGAGCAACTGGACTCCGTTTCCCGGCATGCATCAAGGTCTACACAGCTCAGGGATGGAGCGGCTGCAATTACATTTCTGAGGCATACCTAGAGGCTTGTCGTTGCCGAAGAGAAATGAGTGTGTGGCTCTGATTCAGTTTTCCAAAGTGCCTCCGGGGTAAGCCTTCGGCACACTTGGCTCACGGATTACCCAGGACTCTATTTCCTGACGTACAGTGCGAACCGTCATCCCCATCGTCTACGCTTGGGCCTTTAATGACTCCATTTCCCGGCGTGCCGCGCGGACCGAGGGCGGGGCCGACGCTAGGCGGACTTCATCTCCCGGCGTGCCCCGCGGCGGGCGCTGGGCCGGAGCCGGAGCCCGAGCGGCGCGGCCTGGAAGAGGCCGTAGCCCGGGGGAGGCGGCGGCGGCGG